ACTTTCGGAGGATCCTCAATACCCACCGGAAAGAGCAAACCTTTTGCCAACTTATGAATTTTTTCCTTTTTTTTCAGCTGCTTTTCCAGATTTTCGGTAAATAATTTTCTAGAAGTCTTGTGTTTTGGAAATTCGCATAACCTGTTATTGCACCAAACACTGCAAAACCTGCAGAATACTTAGGTTTCAACACTCAAAACTTCTATTCGGAATATGTGTACAGAGACACACGTACAAACAGACGTTCAGCTTTATAAAGCCGTTCCAAAAGTGATTTCGCTTTTTAAAACGAACGCCACATTTGATGGAACAAAGAATTCTAAGAGATTTTGATATCATTCAACGCAGCATTTCATCCTCTATCTAAAAGTAACGGAAGCGTTGCAACGCAGTCAATGAGCTTTCGGAAAACAACCAAAATCTACAACCCATGCTTTTGAGATGGTCAAGTTTCACTATTTCAAAACTTTCATATGAATCCTCAGGTGTTCAAGTAAAGAATCGAGCAAACATCATAGAATACAGTGCAACCTTTTCCTCTTTTCCATAGCTCGCCTTCCTTTTCTAAAAGTTATTCTAACAAAACCTCGGATTTCGGCAGGCCTACATCAGCCACAATCGCATCGAACATCATGATTATGCGGAATTTGAGACTGCCAAGATGGTACTATGAGTTAGCACTACTTTTACAAAGCAAGTGAGAGCTTATGATTCGAAATATCAAATATTTTTTTATGTTTTACGGGCACAACCTGGGCTCGTTAGAATAATGAGTTATGATGATTTTATACCCGAAAGTCGAACGAATCGAAAAGAAAAACACCCGTCAGACAGAGGAAAAGTTGCTGCATCGATTAGTGCCCGAGCTGCTCTTTCTTTGATGTTCTACAAAGATTTAGCTGTCCAAGTATGGAAATCGTTAGCATCACTTAAAATTCTTTAAATTCATGGCAAGCTATGGAAAGGAGAAGAAAGGTGTTTTGCATTCTGTAGGATTTGCTCTATAAACATATTACATGTACTTTTTCGGACGGTTGATATAAGAGTTTGAAAAATTGTGAAACTTGCCCATTTCAGAAAGCATAGGCCGCAGACTTTTGATTATTTTCTGTAAGCTCACTGACTACGTTGCAAGAATTTCAAACCATTAGAAAGAGGATGAGATGCTGCATTGAATGCTACAGAATCTTTTAGAAATTTTTGTTCCAGTAAATGTGGCGCGCGTTTGAAAAAGCGAAATTAATTTTGGAACGACCCAATATAAAAGATTTATCTGTAGAGTTTCTGGAACCTCCACGGGTCTTATACATCATCACGCGCACTTCGCAAGGTCCAGCATTAAAACAGCAGCAGCCTTAATGTCGTTTAGCAACAAAAGAACACATAATCTCAGACAGTCGAAGGGATACCTTCGGCGGACCATGCGATCGATCTCTACGTACCCTGGTCCTTGCGGCCTATGTGGCGGACAAATATGCCTGATTATCTCCTTAGACTATATCAAATGAGGGAGCGAGCTTGGTTAATCGCAGCTGTTAGTGACAGCGTTAAAGATAGTTTCAATTTCAATAGATTAGATGCCAAATTTATTTAACTGCTCAGGAAATACAATGTATCTTTTAAGAAGAAGGTAATCAAGTCTGGAGAAAGACCGGCGTTCTATAAAATGAACAATTCACTGCTTAAAAACAGGCAAGCTGGGAGCTTCTACGTAGAGACAATGGTGTGGTTATAAGTAATGATAAGGAAGAAGCTGAATTTTTTGCGGATACCTTTGCAAAGACTTTTGCTGAAGAAAAAAGCTTTGTCGAGCTTGAGAGAGAATTGCCTCCAGACTTCTCAACAATGAGTGACGGGGTTTGGTTCAGAAGTGAAAATATTTATCTCCTCCCGACTAGATGGCCTAAATCAACATCTCTTACTCGTGACCTTTTGCAATTACAGTTTATTATATCAGTTGCAGACATACTTTCTGGGCCATTGCAACATATTTTCAATTTGAGTATGATGCGAGCTGAAATTTCTGAGCGGTGGAGGGTCTCTTTTGTTACACCGATTTCCAAGAAAAAGCCGCTAACTAGTCCAGAAAACATTCGGCCTGTCAGCATGACATCCATATTCGCAAGGCTTTTTGGAAAAATGTTGAAAAAACATATTGTTAAACATTCAAAAGAGAACAATGTGATTTCTAATGCACAGCATGGATTTCAGCGTGGTAAATCGACGGTTACAGCAATGTTACAAGCGCTTAATGATTGGACATTGCAACTAGATAGGGGGCAAGACATTGACGTAACCTATCTAGATTTCACTAAGGCGTTCGATAAGGTGCCGCGCACCAAACTGAGGATCAAGCTCAGAGCTCTAGGAATACATCCGAGAATAATATCCGGGAATGAAGCATTTCTAAGAGAGCGAACGTTTGTAGTTCATATCAATCAGACGTTCTCTTCTCTTAGAAAGGGGATGTGGGGTGCCTCAATGAGGCTTACTTTCGCCTATACTTTTGAACGTATATATGTACATACGAGCTCCCGCTTATACCACTGTCCAAAGACATTTCTTGCTGCGCGTTTGCTGATGATTTTAAATTGTACCGAACAGTCACGGATGAAGCTAGTCGTAAGCAATTTTAAGACACCTTGGATGAAGTTTCTCATTCGTCAGAGGGTTGGGGTCTGCCTATTTCACGTGAAAAGACCAAAATACTTCACATGGGATAAGCAATCCTAGATGTAGCTACTTAGGGGAGGAACAACGCTTGCAGTTGTTGAGTCAATAAAAGACTTGGAATTTCTGGTCACAAGCAGTCTTTCTTTTGACAAACATTATAAGACAATTGCGGATAAGGCAACAACAGCTATTTATAACCTTTACAGAGGACTATCATGTAACGACCCTGAAGTCTTACTGAGGGCATACAAAACTTACATAAGACCTATATTGGAATACGGTACGTTGATCTATAATCCACACACGCGAAAAGCAATTGATTATTTAGAAAAGGTTCGAAGTAGTTTTACTAGAAAACCGTTGATAAGAACGGTAGGATTCAGATACGATCAGATACTAAGTAGTCGGGTTCGCAATGCTAATCTAGGCATTCTTACTCTTGCTTATAGAAGGAGACTCGATTCAATCATGGTGCATAAAATACTATTTGGAGAATGTAAGCTAGACGCAAGAAAATTTTTTCCTACTAGATGCTCCACTACTAGAGGAGGGACTAGGAAGCTTATGCTACCAAGGGCAAGGCTAAATGTAAGGAAATATGTCTTTACGTGCCGAGTGGCCCATCATGTGGATATAATTTCAAGAAGAAAGATGTTCGTAGCGAAGCCATCACTGTTCAAAAAGGTTCTAGGAAGTACCTTCAACCTTCGTACTAACAAATATACCTTTCTGCATGTTGTGTTTAGTTTAGCAAGATCGTTTAATGTGTTCAGTTTGTTCGGCCCTTTTTTTGTTTGTTATTTTACCACAGGAACTTCCCTATGCAATAAATAAATAAATCAACGACTTTCCCACCGGAGCGCAAAGCGTGGAGCTCATAGAAGTCAAGCCTATAGCCCGCTTGACAGACAATTTGTTGCCAACATCATATGTCCAGAATGGTAACCAAGAGTATCCCTTTCCAATTCTGCACCTCTCCTTTTTCCTTTGCTACATTTTCTTGTCCAACCATGAAGAGAACATTCTCCGCATTACGAAAAAGTTTTCCTTTATTTTACTTTTCTGAATAGAAAATTTCCTTCACATGGGGTAACATGATCAGCATAGGCGGAAAAGCACGGTAGCAATTTCTCCACTGACCTCGTACAGCAATCTGTCAATTAACTATTAGGTTGTAAAGAAAGTTCCCGGGCACTTTTGGAAATTTCATTTTCAAACGTATGTTTTCCTTTGACACCAAGGTTTTTATACTGTTCAGTAGAGGGAAGCCTGAAGTTTTCATTGAGCCTTATGACTTTTATCGATGCCAAGACGTATTTGATCTGCACGTCAAAAAGGGAAATCTTTCCAACCGTAAAAATTTCACAAATTTTCTTCCTAAGGCCATTTTTTTGTGCAAGTCGAAGATTTTCGTCCAATTCATGGGTGATTTGATTGCGGAGCCTGTTGACTCCTGATCCGCCGCTGCACTCGAATTTTGCGATTTGCGCTCAGAAATTATAAGCTGTCAAACTTGCTTCTGACTGCAACTCTTTTCGCAGCTGGCGTTGCTTCTGCGGGGATCGCCATGCCTAGACGATGGGCCCAAAAGATGTGTAAGGCATCATTCCCACAATGTTCCCAGTAATCGAAGATCTGGTCCTTTCTGTGCAGAACTAGAAAACTTCAAAGTCGCATACTCAAAAAATGATGCATTTTTGGGGGCAAAAAATGGTCGATTTTTCAAATTTTCAGGGAAAAAATTTTCTGCAAGTGATCCCTCAAAGAAATAAATGGTTTTCATAACAGCCCCAGCAGACCTCTACATACCCACAGCATCTGGGCTCTCCATCTCTCATCAAGCCTTAGTTAATCCTGCACAAATAAGCCACTTTTGGCGACGACCTTTTTCCCTTCTGCGCATGCTGGTGGACCGCAGTGAGGTGCTGAGAAGCCAGCTACACAAACATATGTTATGGACAAAATTGTCTTTGCAACGAAGTTTGTAGCTTCAAAAAAGAATCAATCTGCTTGAACTTACAGCGATTTGAAAAAAAATTTTCGCAAGTGCCCGGGTACTTTTTTTACAATCTAATAAATGCCAATTCAGTATTCTACTTGTGCAACAGCAGTGCTTTAATTTCTTAAGTGAAAAATAGTACAAAATCTCTGTAGTTTTATCTGCAAGAATGCTTTACAAAAAGAATTAAACACGGGTTATTTGAAAATAAATACATGGAATGATCAACTACAATAAATATATAACACGCGTAGTCATGTACAAACAAAAAATAAGAATAGTGATTACAAGATATGTAAATAGAGGATTTTTCATATAAGATCAGAGATTATTGCTGATCATTTTCGTTTCCCTTTACTGCAGCTGGTACCTCTTCTATATGAATGCTCCTTGTGGTTGGCGTTTTCTTCGTGATTTTGGGTGCTTCCAGGGCGAGGTGACCGTCTTTAGTCAGAGAGGATTTGAGTTGCTCAGACGTCATCAGGAAGCATCCACTGTCGAAAGAAGGTTTTAGAATCAAAGATATAAGATTTTGCGAAGCCACAGATACGCAAACAAACTTTACAAACTTGACCTACCTCATAGAGTAGCCGTTTTCTTGTTTGATTTCCTGTTTGCCTTGTACCCTTAGATTTCTTCCATCCAAATCGACTGATAGCTCTTCTGGTTTGAAGTTTGCGACATTTAAAGAGATAGCTAGCTTGGAATCGTCATCAGTAACCTGAAAATGACTTTTTTGATTGTGCAAAAATACTGGAAACTTGTAATTTTACCTTCGCTAGTTTTCCAGCAGATTCCTCTCGTTGCTGCGAGACAGTTATCAGCATTGGTAGTATTGCAGACTCGATACGGTCGATGTCTTCGAGAATACTGTCAAAAAGGCCTCGACGAGCGAGTCGTGTTTGTGGTGGAAGGAAGTAGAGAGCCATAGGTTGGGAGCACAAAACAACTAGACTGGTGCTGGCTCAGCCACAGCTGTCTTTATATAGCAAGCCGCGAACTTTTCTGCGAAGGCTCTCGACAATTCGCGAATATTCGCGGAGCGCCGCTATCTTTAGCGTAACTAAAAGCGCGCCCCGCCCCAAATTGCGAACGTTCTGCGGATGTGCCCAGTGATGCTCGGCACATTCGAATCGGAATATATGTCTAAAGAAAATTTTAAAATTGATAGCTTTACTGATACGTTGAAGAGTCAAGCGAATCATTACGAATAGATCTCGGCGCACATCTTGCTGTTTTACAGAGGGAATGGTATGACAGCGTTTTTTATACTGAATCTTCTGGCATAGAATAGAAAGTCACAAAATATGTAAATTTTGAGAAAGAGACAGTTGGCTGGAGCAGTGACATTAAATAAAATGCTAATTACATCGTTCAAGGATACGCACTATTAAATTGAAGGCATCGACTGGAAAGTAGGTTCAGGCGTTTGGGAATGCGATTTCCTAGTCGAATAGCTTTTACATGGTTAGACGTCTGACGAGATCAGCAGCGAGCCTAAAAGAAAAGATGGTACTTTTCCGTTATCCGGACCCATTTTTTCAAAAGCCTCTCACATTATATGTTTTTAGTCTAAGGAAAATTTTTCATAGATTCTTTGATGGCTACCTCCTTGCCACGTGTCACGAAAAAATTGACATGTTTTGGTTCATTTTGACATGTTCTTTTCGAAATCATTTCAGGTGAGATAAAAGAGAATTTATGGTCATTTTAAAGCTGTTCGACTGTTTTACATAAAAGCAAAACAATCATGAACTTATCTTAGAACATCTTGCTTGCTTTCAGCAATGATCAAAAATGTCTTTCTCTTCAAACTCTTTTGACCATGCGAATTTAGCAAGAAAAGGCTATAAACGATAGCTTAAAGTACTTTGCTGCTGCTTATTTCGCTTCTTGAATGACGGAATCCTAGCGAATTTCTTTATTTCGAGCAAGCAGGACTCTTCATCGATAATAGTATATCGTCATTATTATGACAATGTTCATTTTAAAACTGTTTGATCGAAATGAGGTCAAAATTAACTAAAAAACAGATTGAAGCTACATCGCTAGGTAGGGTAAAACAAACTCCTGGTATAACCTGTCAAACATGTAGATGACACGTCAAATTTTTTTGACACGTGGCAAAAGGTTGACACTCTTTCATGTGAGGCTGGAATACGATATGGTACAAGGATAGAAGCATATTTTTCTTTAAAAAAATGGGTCCGGATAACGGAAAAGTACCGAAAAGATCTTCGCGCCTTCATGCATGTGAACTTCCCAAACGGATGTTAAGGAAAGCTCTTGTTTATTCTTCTCACAATGCATAGCAAGCCGTGCAATGCTTGTCTCAAAAAAAGCGAGAAATTTCAAGCAAAATAAATGCATTTGCCATTCTCAGCAACAATGTGATCAGTAAGTAAAATTCACATGTAAAAAACAGTTGACAGAGTATTGATAACCTATTTAGTTAAGATTAATTGGAAATAATTCAGTGATTTACAAAAATTTGGACTCTACTATGACGAAATTGCTGGATGTAGCTTACATGCAATTAACTTGTTTTACGTGTAAAAAACCACAGCAATTTCTAGAAAATTTGGAAATATAATCGTTAGAAAAAAATTTCACGGTCCTCCAATTTACAATAGCGCACGGCTGTTGTTGCGGCTCGGTGGGCTCTGCGCCCCCTCACCTAGTGCTCGACTGCCTTGCGTCCAGCTCCTGTCCCCTGCTAGGACTAGGACAAGGACTTCCGCCACTGCGGGTGCGCGCCAGCTCACAATGGCGCGTTACGCCTACACTGCACAAGAAACATTAAATATACATAAATTTACTAAAGAAATAAACATGAGAAAAATACACGATATAAATAAATATAAACATGCTTACCACGGGGAGAGTTAAGCTCTACCCCGGGCTACCGATGGGAACTCTATCTTACTCACACTCACACGCTAACACACTCACACACTCTCCCGATATCCAAGGGAGCTACCCACAGGCCGGCCGCGCGCCGCCAAGGCAGCAGCTACGGCACGGCATCACCGACCCCATGATGTTAATCAGCAGCATCGAACCAAGCTCCCAACAAGTCCTGCGCGACCAAAGCGCTTCGAGATGTTCATCATCCTGGAATTCTATCCTCGCGCGTACATCCGAAAATCCATCAACAATCCATCCAATCGCGCGAGGCACGGGGACGTAGACACGACGGCGATATCGTGGAAACCCAACCAATCAATAATAAAGGCGGCACGACGATAATAGTAAGAAGACAAGACGAGAGAGAGGCCGCACTGGCGCGCGTACGCGCTATTTATAGCAGTGGCTGGGGGCGTGCCTACGTGGTATGGTCTCGGAGCGAACAAGGTAGCCGCCGTAAAGCGCGGCGACTGTGCTTACGACCGAGACGCGCGGCAACACGGTGCTCCCGGCCACATGCTGTGAGGAGCGGTCGATCGCGAGCCGCGACACTCCCCTCACAACGAAAGGCATTGGGCGTTGCGAATAGGTGGTTACGTGATAGCACCGTGACCTGGGGCAACTGCCTTAACCTAAAAAAAATTGGGCGATGATAGAAAAAAAAGAAATATACAGCACCGGTAGCGAGGGAACTGGCAATAGCCCGCCCTGTGGAAGAACACAAAAATAAACACAAAACTAAGGCGCTATGGCGCGCAGTTGACTACTAGAATAAACCGGGGCGCTCAAGGCGCTTACCAAGTAAATATGAACAATGGCTAAAAGACACTTCGACGGATACTGGACTATTTACAGTGTTTCAGGATGGACTTTCCGACCCATAACATCGCCACCAATCCATCTCACCATCCTTCACGACCAGCGCTGATCTTACTGCGCAAACAACTCGCATTACGTCTTTCGCACCATTACATCTAATCACTCTAAATACACTCATACGTTCATCATCGAGGGAGCGTAATGCCCGAAACAAAACTTACCACCTGCAACCTACATGTCGCGCGTCCTGGAACGCACACCCTGAAACAAAGGAAACCTCCACCCTCTCTTAATTTTGAATTGATTTACGATAAAAAGGCACAAAATGAAACAATGTACTGAGAGGGTGTTGGCTTCCAGACAAAAAAGTACTACGTCTTTCCCGAAACACCCCCAAATTTGTGCGTCTAGCACCCATTCGGACCGATTTGGACGAAGGTCCAGCCTCTCGCCGAGGACAAAATGCCTCGACGAGGGGGTCGACCCCGCAACTCAAGGACCCAGGGGTGCGGCACTGTGGGTCTGTTCAAGGAAAGACGGCCCAACCTATAGAGCAAGTGTTACAGGAGCCTGATGGACCGCTCGCAATGGCTCTGTGGTCGAGACTTAAACAAATGAGACGGCGCGTCCGGTGACGGCTACGACTTCCTAAAGTAGGCTATACCGCTAGGCTGCTCGACGGAGTAGCAATGATAAACAAGTTAGAAAAATTAGCGGAAAATTTAATTGGTGTTAACGCGCTACTACAATAGGAAGTATAACTGGTAAGGAGCTGACGAACTAAGATGTTATGCAGGACTTTACATGGCGCGATAAATGCTAACGCGCTCCACAAGTGCGCCAGATGGTGTTAGTTACTGGGTTAACTAGCGCGACAGATCTTACACGGTAAGTTGGCAAAGTAAAAAAAATAAATTTTAGAGGCGCGACAGTCACAAGGATGTTACAGTGTAAAAGAAATTGACTGACGCGCAGATAAAAAACATTAGTAAATTTAGAAATGTAAGTGCAAAAAGGAGAAATTAAAACAAATTTCAAAAGTGATGTTGTCTACTAATACCGTTCGAGTCCGCACTATCACCAGGTTGTGCGTCCGCCTGCGCTTCTTGTGAATTCGCCATATGTACTCGTCCACGAATCTCCATCAACTCCTGCCAAAAGTCGTCTTCAGACTCGCGCGTCGATCCTATTCCCGGCTCGCCGTTGGTCCCATCATCCTCAAAATAGATCATCGTCACGAGGTATTTTAGGCTGATTAACGGCGCGTCCAAGCTGCGCAGTGAGACTTCCCTCTGGACGTTCCGACGATGAATCCGTGGCATAGGCATGATTAATACTCAGCGCGACAACTGAATGATGTTACGCACCTAACCCACCTACTTAGCGCGTTACGCTAAGTATGTACCGCACGTCGATGAAGAAGCGGGTTTACTATGCGCAAACTGAGTATAACCATGATCAGATGTTGGAATGTGAGCCAAGCTGACGACGAAGACACTACAGCGAGTGCGGGAGTAGGTGCTACCTACAGAACTATTCTAACAAACGTCGAAATCGGGTTACACTGCATACCGAGAGTGTCCAAATAGGTGATGGAACGATGACACAACAAAACAGTGATGCAGACAAGAAGTAAGTCCGAGTATAAGCCAATCCAGGTAAAAAGGGTAAATCCAAGAAGCAACGGCAAAAGCCGCGCATATGACTACAGCCGATGTTACTAGCTACAGGTCCCTGACGTAAGCGTCCACGGAGAAGGTAGTATAAACGTGTCTACGGGTCGCGCGTCAGGTAGGTTTGAACCGGAAAAACAGATGCACTCAAGAAACGTCTTGCCAATATACAGTGGTAGTCGCAGTTACACTAGCTGGCCAGGCAAGTTCAACATACGAACAAGATGTTAGCAACTGTAAATAAACAAGACACACTAAGCCTGAGCACAACAATTAAGCCAAGTTACTATGGGCAGAAAAGTATCAGTGAAGCACGGCTGGCGTGCTAAGCGCGATATTTCGTCGAACGACGATACAACTCAAAAACACGACGATGCCAGCTGGTAGAGGAGTGCTTCAGTTGCCGAGGATGTGATCAAGTAAACTTGGCATGAAGTCAAAGTGCAGATGGAGCGCACAACGAGAACAAAGGCGCGATACTACTAAAGGTACTCACGCGCGAGAAGGAGCCTATAGATGGAATAGGCAAT